CAGGGGTGTCCAACCTTGGTAACGTTAAGCCTGGAGGACTTCAACTCCCAGAATTCCCCAGCCAGCAAAGCTGGCTGGGGAATTCTGGGAGTTGAAGTCCTCCAGACTTAACGTTACCAAGGTTGGACACCCCTGCTTTAAAACCACTCGATTTGTGAGACAATTGCTCGACTGTTTTCTCTTTAAAGCGCACTGGAAACCCAAAACAGGCTGCCAAGGGAGGCTGGGGAAAAATACGATCCTTTTGCGGAAGGAGCCCCTTTGTCTTCAGCGTTGAGAACAAAACTCCGGGTCTGCCACAAAGCTGCTTGCCTTGCACCAGCCCTTCTAACAGGGTTTACACTCACACCTCTTACCTGCGTCCATGTTACAACTACCTGCTTTTTTCCTGAGCAGCGTCAAAGCAGACCAATCGGGCACGGTTTTCTTTTGCTGCAGTACGGCGTTGATAACCGCCTGCCGCATTTCCCCAATTAAATCACGCCCAGGGAATATTGCCTTGAGATCTAGCAGTTTTTCTAAGTCCTGAGCGAGTTCCTTTGCCAGATGGGTGCGTTTCCTCAGCTCAGCGCCTTCTGCGGGAGGTGGAGGCACGTTTTCCTTGTCGTTTGCAGCCGCTGTTGTGCTGCTTTGGAAATCCTCCTCCTCTGCAGCCTGTTGATCGAAGGTCGCGGCACGAGATGCCAATGAGGGTTTGTAGCCTGCATCCACTTCCTGCACAACAGCTACAGGATGGTGCTCTCTGATTGATGCAGGGGCGGCTGGCGTTACCGTCAAATGAGCATCCTCGTGCCCTGGGTTCAATTCCTTTAAAGTGCCTTCACATTGCTCTCCGGGAATAGATTTCTGGTTTGTATCAAGAGAGCTACAGGATTGTATCTCTTCTCCCAACAGCCCTCCGCTGGCTTTCTGGATTGGAGTTACATCCAGGGTATCATGCTCAGCCTTGGGACTCAATAATCTCTCAATATCGGCGGATTTCACCTCTCTGTTAAAGATGCCCAGGTGCTGTGTCAATCTGTTCTGGGTTATGACCACGGATTTGGCAAGATGGCTCCCTTTGATGGGGGTTGATTTAGCACAGTTGCTAAGCTGGGAGCTCCAGAAAGGGGCCAGCATCTTTTTCAGGCCCTGGCGGTTGGGTTTCTGTTCTGGAATTTTGCCCGTAGCCTTCCTGCCAAATTTGATGTAGTTGCGTTCCCGTCGCGTTCGACGGCGTTTGACCCTGACCAATTTTCGTTCAGCTTTTTCTTCCAACAGGGGTACCTTCAGTGGATGGGGTGAAGGGAAACCAGGCGGTGCGTGCCCTTCTCCCTTGTCACGAAGGTTCATACTGGAAGTAGCCCCTAGATGGAAGCAAAGAAAGAATAAACCCTGGTAGTTCATAAAATATTAATTCTAATTTTTCTCCCTTGAGAAAAGTTCACCAGATTTATTTTTAAGCATGTCTTTATTTATTTATTTTTATAAAAACTGTAACTCAAGGCAGCAAATGTACCTAATACTCTTTCTTCCTCCTATTTCCCCCTCAAGGACACTATGAGGTGAATTGGGTTGAAAGAAAGTGACTGGCCCAAGGCCTTTATAAAAAAATATAAAAAAATAAAGGGTTGTTATTTATATATATTAACCATATTACAGGTAGTCCTCAACATCTCACCATGACTGAGCCCAAAATTTATGTTGCTAAGTGAGAAATGTGTTAAGTGAGTTTTGCCCCATTTTATGACTTTTCTTGCCACGTTTGTTAAGTGAATCATTGCAGTTATTAAGTGGTTGTTAAGTGAATCTGGCTCCCCCATTGACTTTGCTTGTCGGACGGTCACAAAAGGGAATCACATGACCCCGGGATATTGCAACCGTCATAAATATGAGCCAGTTACCAAGCATCCAAATTTAAATCACATGACCACAGGGATGTCTGCAATGGTCATAAGTGTGAAAATGTTCATAAGTTGCTTTTTTCAATGCCACTGCAACTTTGAACGGTCACTAAATGAATTGTTGTAAGCCGAGGACTACCTGTATATATTTTATATGTGGCCCAGGACAATTCCTCTTCACTCACTGTGGCTCAGGCAAGCCAAAAGGTTAGACACCCATGCCATTATATAATTTTTCTTCTTCTGTTCAATAATGGCCAATTCTCGGAAACTGCCTGGATAAGTCCCTGCAGTTTCCTTGGCAAAGTTTATAAGATACAATTCTGGAAGACTGATTTCTACCAAAATAAATTAGCTAAACATTAAAAGTACTGCTTTGCTAGTTTTTATTCATAAATCAAATCTGGCAGATTTAACGATGTGAAAATATCTCATCACCATGAAAACAATTTATGTATGCATAAATTTAACAATAACAGTTCCTTCAAAATGCAAAGCGCTCTTATTTTTTTGTCAGTTTTTACACTTACGCTGTAAGGTAAATCATTATTAGCACATAAAGTAACAGATATGAAAATTAGGGTTGAACCTAAGTACAAAAAGCTGCTTAAGGCAGCTGGTGTTTTCAAAATCAGAATACACACTCTTGGCCATTTATATCAAAAAGTCATTTTCAACCAACCTCTATAAAGGAGAATATTTGTAGCCTAGTGTTGAGATGAGGGATTCTTCATACTCTCTGAGCTTGTTTTCTTGCAGATGTTGGCACGGATGATCATGCTATCTAGTTTGGGTAATGAAATGTCTGCAAGAAAACAACCAAGCTCAGAAAGCATCAAGGACCCTCATAGTTTGCTGTGCAAACCTCAAACTATCCACTTTTGACCTCACCCCATTCCTAAGAGGTCTGTAAGGGGCATACATAAGTGCACAATTGTGCCTACCATCCCTGTCCTACGGTCCCCATGTATTCGTACTTATTTCCTGTATTCTTACTCATGTTTATACTTACAGCTATTATCTTGTAAGCAATTGACAAATCAAATAATACAAAATATAAGTTTCCAGAATAGCTATATGAGCCTTGGGCGATGCCCACGCATAACCAATTGGCTTTAGAGTGCTACAAGACTCTTCCTAATATGTTTGCATCCCACACCTTCAACCCCAGGCATTACTACGCCATTGCAAAACGGATTATATTTCATGCAAATCAGCATACCTGCAAATAAACTGCAACTGTTTTTTTTTTTTTTTTATGATGAGACCGATCTCCCGTCACAAGAAAACTGCTCAGCTAGACTTTTCCCACCTAACCTCCAGGGAAATTATCAACTGTCCCGCGGGGACGGATCCTGCTGGGATTTATTTTATATTTTATGTTTAACTTGTAAAAACTGCTCTGGGTAAGATGAGAAGCTCCTGAAAAGGAAGCCGCGAACAAGGCTCGCGCGCGTGTGGATCTACCTCAAAGGTGAAAGAGGCAAGGGGAGACAATGGAGAAGTTCCAAAGGGGGCTTAAGCCCCCCGCTTCCTCTTATTCTGGCCCCTTCCCACGTATCCCAGCACTCCTATCCCCTCTGTTTTGGACCCCCACCTCGCCCCCTTCGCGGAAGCAGCCAGGGCGGCACAATCCTCCTCTGCCCGCCCTGCTTGTCTCGTGCTCGGGCAGTTGCTCTGCCGCCCCTCACGCAACCGGCCGAAGCGCGAGGGCAAAGGGCCCTTCATTTTTCGCGCGCCTTCTGCGCTTGGTTAAAAAGGCAGCTGTGGGCCCTGCCCTACCATTGGCCCAGTCTGGATTGGTTGCAACGGGCCGACGGCCCAAGCTAATTGGCTACGCGTGTTAAAGAACTGTTGTTATGTCTGTCTGTCACAGGAAGCGGGAGGATAAAGTTCTGCTCCCACGCCTTTATTCCTCAGGGGCTGAATGGAAGAATGTGTATTCGCAACCTTCCTCCAGCAACTTCAGACGTGTGGGTCTGCGACTTCCGTATTTTTTTTTTTTAATAGGTGGAGTATGCTGGCTGGGGATGATGGGAGTTGCCATCGGTGAATCTTGTAGAGCAGAGGTCTCCAAACTTGGCAACTTTAAGACTTGTGGACTTCAACTCCCAGAATTCTCCAGCCAGCTCTGCTGGCTGGAGAATTCTGGGAGTTGAAGTCCACAAGTCTTAAAGTTGCCAAGTTTGGGGACCCCTGTTGTAGAGTTTTACAATACTTCCCTCCCCCACCCCCCAAAAAAGACTGGGAATTTGCCATGCAGTCCACTTCGGAGTTGTCAGTGCATGGGGTCCAAAAGCCCAGCAAGCAAATAAATTGACGATGATTATGGGCTGATAGGTCAATGTTAATATGAACTTATTCACAAATGGCAAAGTAAACCATGCACCAGTTCGTGGTGGGTTTGTTTTTTATGGTCCAAAAGATAGAAAACTCATCAGCCACGCTCTTGTCTAAGAACTTATAACTAGGGTTCTGTTTGTTATTAACCCCCAGGCTTATCTATCTATAGACAATGTGGTAGAAGTGGTACCGCTTTTCTGTTTTCCATCTGTAGTTGAATCTACAGAATTGCGTTTTGAATTTTTAAAGAAATCTTTTAAAAATACTCATCAGCCTCTCAAAGCTGCGAAGTTCAGCTCCTTGGTCCTAGTTCATCTTAGTCTTAGACTGTATTGTTTTCATGCTCATAATCACATACACAAAATGTTTCTAATATTTGTCATATCTTAGTGAAAAACTGCCCCTGATAGTTGTGAATCTGTTTAGAAGAGTGCTCTTTGCAGGTATTTTTAAAGTCTGCCTTTGTATGTTATGAACAACTCGTTCTTAATTCTCCCCCTGTATGGTGTTGCATCATCTCGGCAAGCACTAAGATGAGTATCTGGACTCAGAAACTCAGAAATCCTGGACAACACAAAAGGGAATCACAAGGCAGTTGGTTCAACAGGGAAGTAAAAGGAAAAAGGCAGTGGAAACCCACTTCTGTATTGCTGCCCAAAAAAATTGCAAGGGGCTTGGTCATTGGTCCTGTCTGAGCTTGGTTGGTTTATGCAGAAGTTTCATTCTCCAAACTAGGTACCATCATCAGTGCTAGTGGTCACTGCTAGTATGGATGTTACCTAGTTTGGATAATGAAATGTCTGCATAAATACAACCAAGCTCAGAGAGAACCGAGGACCCCTTGTTTCAACTCAGATATTGTACAAATATTCTCCTTTATCGGTAACATTGCAGCCCACTAGAGCTATTTAGTTATCCAGAGCCGAGCTTGGCTTGAAGCAGCTTTTGCCTCCTATCAGTATAGCAGCATAGATAATTTGGTGTCTTCCAAATATTTTGGACTCTAGTTCCTATCAGTTCCAGCATGCCCAGCGGATGGCAAGAATGTTTAATGAAATTCGATACGTCTGAAAGTGATCAGGTTGCTCGTCTTTCCATTAGACTAATGAACTGCACAGGCTCACCAGATGCTTGCACTGTTCTATTAAAAATGTAGCAGCTGCATTTAAGCAACCTCCTAACCTTGATGAGTCTTTTGGGGCATATCATGTTGGACTAATCCAACCTGTTTAATTTATAATTCAATGTATTCTGCAAATCAGTACGTGAGTTAATTAAATAACCAATATAAAAACTGAGCCCTAATGAAAAATTGGTTAAAAGATTTATTTTTTAATGGAACGGCTTATGAAAACACAATTACCTGAACAATGAATGATGTTATATATGCTGTAGTCATTCTAGGACACATATTACCTTTTCCTATGCGGAAGAAAGATAAGCAGAAATACATAATCATCTAAGTTATCAGACTGTGAAAATAATAGGCTCTTGTATTGCAATATTCTGCACCATTACTGCACAATTATGCTTGGAGTGGAAAGACGAAATTTTGATAAAGCACCATTTTTAACTCGCTCAGTTGGTTCATATGCTTCTCCTATTGTCATATTTGAATTCAGAACTCTGGAAATAAAACTTGTCCTATTTATTAGTTGCTTTTAGCAACAATTTTCTTAAAGTGAAAATAGTACAATTTGTGATTTTAGACATTTTAAAGAATAATCGTAAAAAATTATGCTTATAATTTGGATATGGTCTATTGGAAGGCTATGCCTACTATTTTTCCATAATAGTTTGGATTTGTTTTTGTTTTTTAATTGCATGCTCGTTATTGCTAATACAACTTATGGTACTAATAAATTTCAACATGTGATTTTGTCATGTGATCTTTTATCAATATTTCAGTATTAATATTTGAACAAAGGAAGTTCATTTACATGGGATTATGGATACCTTTATTATCTCTTAGGTAATAAAAGATTCACTATAGGATTCACTATAGGATGATTAATATTTTATTTGATAGTCCAAAAAGAATTATAATGCTGAAATTAATTTTCACATCCATTATTATCACTGTATATCCCTTCAGCTTCTGTCTTT